TTTATTTGGTTTGCTCAACATATTAATTCGGATACTAACACGTCCTCAAAACATAATAGATCAGATATTTATTTTTGGATTGATATGAATTTTTTATAACAAAAGGTTTGAAATTTGGTTGTCAAACGGATTCAAATTTCAATCAGATGGATTTTAATAAGGGCCGTTGCAACGCAAGGCTGGGTATGCTAGTATATATATATATATATATATATATATTTTAAACTGTATAACAAATTCAGAAAGAATTAATATATAGTATCCGCGGTAAAGGTACGATTTCACTTTGGGTTTTTTCACTCAAAATAATTGCTTCAAAAATGTTGCCCATAATTTTTATATATTATTTATATCCCGTACTATATATTAATTATTTTCAGTAATAATAATATCTAAATTATATTTTTCTCAATATAATTTGATATACATTATTACTTATTTGCATGATATTTTGTAATTTGTTGAACCAAGTTAATTCTAGATGAAATACGATTCATTTTAATTTTGTTTGAAATGACACTCATAAAACTATTTGATTTAAATTAAAAAAGAAAACAGACCCTTAACAGTACACATTTTATAGTGACACATTTTATAGTTTATTCTGCGCACTATAAAACTCCATAGAATATATAAAGTATAACACCTCGCCGCTAAATGGCTTCAAATACAACAATTAGATCTTGGACGAAACAAAAAACCCTTTTTCTTATCTAGTTTAATATTGTTCCTAAGACACATTATACAACATCGATGTATTAAGATCATAATTTATATAATTTTGTTCATTACATAATTTTTGTTTGTACCCGTAGGGTAGTTAAAGTAATGGGCTGGAAATCGAAAATGAAAATATTTGCATATTTTTACATTTTGAAAGTGTCTGAACATTTTGGAATACCTCAGAAAAAATTGATGTGTGGGTGTTTTCTTTGTTCGCATTTTTTCGTTCACGTTTTCGGTGGCGCGGATCAACCGATTTGAATGGTTCGAAAAACATTCGATTCCTATTGACAGCGAGATGTGCTGATTAGTAAAGGCAGGTCTAGTCGTTACGGAGACACGGAGCAAAAAGTGCAGAAAATAGAAATAGAGGTTTTGAGAGAACGGAGTATCCGATTTGATTGATCCAAAAACATTAAATTTGCAATGACTGGGGGAAGTTGTGTTTTTGTTTTTGGCAAAGGCAGGTCCAGCCGTTTCGGAGATACCAAGCAAATTGGGCAAAAAATGGCAGTTTTCAAAAGAACTAAGCATCCGATTTGAATGATTCAAATAACTTTTTGCTTGTTTTGACAAAATAATTGCTTTTCTAAATAAAAATTATTCAATTTATTTTCGATTTCTTATTTTTTTATTTTTTGTATATCGAAATTAATTTATATTTTAATTTTAATTTTTGCTAAATTTCTAAAGCTCATTTGTATACTTTAATTAAATAATTTTAACTTCGTAATTCAGTTTATATAATTCTTATAAAGATTAGAAAATGTTACAATATTTATAATAATATATTTGGAAACATTTAATATTACTCGTACATTTCGTTACGGTAAGGAAAGTTAAAGCAATTTGTCTTAAGACACGATGTAATTTACCACGAATTAGTTCTGTTATCAATATCTAACGTTATGTTGAAAAAAAAATTAAATTACACTACTGAGAAACAATGTCATCCCCCCGGTAAGTGGCATAGGAGTTATTTTCACTCTTGAACTTGAGAATAAGATGAACCTAATTCCTAAAATTCATACAAATTGGAGCACAGTAAAAAAAAATCAGACGCAAAACGCTATATTGACTTGAGTAAATATTCCGTATCCAATGCCAAACATATTAGTGCAGTAAACGGAGAGGAAAAAAGGGCATAAACTCTGAATTTTTTTACTGTGCTCCGAATTGAATGAAATTTTGGAATTAGGTTCATCTAACCCTCAAGTTCAAAAGTGAAAACAATTCGGATTGCGCCATCACCCCCCGGGGGGATGACACCCTCTCTCAATTGTGTAATTACATTTTTTTAAAATAACGTCGGAAATCGATAGAAGAACTAATTATAAGAAAAAAATGTCTTCTATAGTTTTTCAAAAAAACTAATACTTTTCAAGTTACTGGCCACTAAAGATTCATATATTTTTGGTGTTTTTCTTCGTTTTTTTTGCAAATATCTCCTAAAATATACATTTTAACGAAAATCATGTATTTTAACGAAAATCATGTCCGTTTACTGCACTATATGAATTTTCGACACAATGGAACTTCTAAAAATAATTTTTTGAATGAGCAATTTTTTTTTTGTATTGTGATACAATGTAAAGTAAGGAAAAACACGACTAAATTATTTAAAAAATGAGACTCAAAATATCAACTTTTTTTGAAATGTTAACATGAAACTGCACTTTTTGGCATATTTTTCTCAAACATGGTGCTCTGAAAGATTTCATTTGTATATATATATATATATATATATATATATATATAATATATATATATATATACTCATTTTCTTGGTTAAATTTTTTTTTATTTATGTTATTTAAATTCAGAACCTAAATTTGATATCGATCAGATGGACATTTTGTTAAATAACATTTTCCCAGTTATAATTTCCCAGAATTTATCGAAGAATAGATAGTAATATATGAAGCTCCGGGGTTATACATACTTAAATTATTTTTTATCTCTCCTCACAAAAATTTGAAAATTTTGTATAAACTCAGTAGTATTATTAACAATTATACACAAAATCCAGAATCCAAAAAGAATGTGAAAAACGTGAAATGTAATCAATTAGTAGAAAGACCAAAAAAGACTTGGATGGATTATACTATGTTTCCTATAGAAAGTGTATAAATCTTCCAGTTTGATTGTATTGACAAAATATAGACAAATTAATGGGGTTTATTGTTTTTATAATACTTCATTGTATATAGCATTCAAACAACACATCCTTATACACTTAAAGTATTAATATTTTTGATTCTCTAGAAATTGTTTAGAATGTACCTTACTTAGCAAAACAACGTTTGCCGGGTCAGCTAGTCTTATATATAAAAATGGAGCTCTCGATCAAATGATTCGGTAAAACTCGTAAACGGCTAAACCGATTTGTCCAGGCTTAGTCTTGAAAAATTCGTGCCAATCCGGAGAAGGTCGGAAAGGTGAGATAATATTTCAAAATCGCGTAAAAACTTTACATTTTTAATTTGAAAATTTTTGTTGAAGCGTAATTTAAATAAAACAATGAACGGTGGCTAATACGTGAAATGTCAAACCTTTTTAGGCAGATTATGTTGAATTACGTTTAATAGGATGTTTTACGTGAATATTATTTAATAATGATTAAATTCTAGTAAGTAGTTTTGTTTGTAGTTTTATTTATATACAAAAACGTTAGTAAACGGGCCGCAAATGTTACTAGAGACTCAAAATATCAACTTTTTTGAAATGTTAATATGAAAATGAACTTTTTGGCATATTTTTCTCAAAAATATGTGCTCTGAAAAATCTCATTTGTATAATTATATACTCATTGGTATTTATAAAACATTTTCTAGGTTATATTATTTTTTATTTATGTTATTTAAATTCAGAACCTAAATTTCGTATCGATCAAATGGACATTTTGTCGAATAACATTTTCCCAGTTATAATTGCCCAGAATTTATCGAAGAATAGATAGTAATATATGAAGGTCCGGGATTAAAAAGGTCCACCACCTATGTGTCAAAAATCGGTAAAGTTAAGCATTGTTTAAAAATATTTGAAAGTTGAGGAAAACAGGTGTATAATCTTGATTTGAAAACGGTAATCTTTGAAATGGGGAGGATAAACGGTAATCTTTGAAAATCCACAATAAAAGTATTTTGTTCTGTTGGTAGTTTTTTAGCATTAGTTAAAAATAAAATTATTTTGTAAAATACCTTTAAAATTAAAATAAGACATTAAACCTGTTTACGATATATAGGTTTAAAAGATCTAGATAACAAATTATTGAAAGACATCAGAAAAGCACATTTCTACAATGATGAAGTAGCTGGCTGTTTTACTGAACGTAGTTTGTTTGAAATGTGTTACTTGTTGTGATATAATTGGTTTGATTTTTATAATATAATTAATATTTGCTTCAAGTCAAATTTGACCTTTGTGTTTCGCACTGCTCTACATATATACTATTCATTAAATATATTTTAATACATCGAATGTTACTTGAAACTTTTCAAAAAGCAGGTCAAAGAAGAAATACTTAATTTACTTTCTATCTCTCTTGGCAAAAATTTGAAAATTTTTGAATAAGCTCAGTAGTATTAGAAGTATTATTTACAATTATACACAAATTCCAGAATCCAAAAAGAATCTTAAAAACTTGAAACGTAATTAATAAGGCGAAAGATCGAAAAAGACTTGGATGAATTATACTATGTACACACTAAATTTATGTATACACTAAAAGTATTCATTTTTTTGATTCTCTAGAAATTGTTTAGAATATACCTAACTCAGCAAACGTTTGCCGGGTCAGCTAGTATATATATATATATATATATATATATATATATATATAAAAAAAGTAAATAAACATAACTTAAACATGCGGATTTAAAATTGTCTAATATTTATAAGAATTGTATAAAATAAATTTCAGAGTTAAAATTTTTCAATTCAATTCATTTCAATTCAAAAATGCCCAAAAGCAATTGCTTCGTTAACACAAGCTGAAAGTTTTTGTTTTATCTCAAAAACTGCAATTTTTTGCACATTTAGCTACGTATCTCCGAAATAGACCCACCTTTGCCAAACGGACAATCAAAACACACACACATCCATTTATTCTAAGGTATGGCAAAGTGTTAATAAATTTTCTATTTTGATTTTTTGACAATTTCAATAATTATCCCTATGAGAAGTTAAAAATAACTGTCTCTTCATATAACTTTATTCTATTTTAAGTTTAGTAGATACCAGAAAGAAATTCATAAACATTGTGCTTTGACAATTAGGTGTAAAGATAAGCACAAGGAACAAAGAGAAGTACTGAATCGATATACTGCTGAGGCAGTCATAGAAATGACAAAAATGTCAGTTGGTACTTCTGCAATAAACAATGGTCTACAGCAGCATTCCCACCGACCTGACACCCACCTTCGCGAAGCAACGCGGTCAGCACCAGATGTCATTATTATGGCATCTTGCAATAACATGGCACTCCCACACTGACAAGACGAGACAGCGATGATCACCGAATGGGAGCCATACAGGTAATTTTAACAAAATATTGAAATTACAGACAAACTTCTAAAACATATTATTGTTTTGGTAATATGTTGATACCAAACTAAAAATTTAGCATTAAAACAATGAAAAGTTTATTTTTTATTTGCTTTTACTAAATACCAATGTGAAGTGTACATTATAAATACTAAATCAATCAAAAACGAATATTTTTTTAACCATTAATCACTGTGTGGCCGCTTTATGCGGATGCAAATTATCCAAAGTTGTGTAGATATTGAAAATTAGTCAACGTTCAATTAACGCGATTTCAATCGCAATTATTGATATTATTAAATTAAAAATTACCTGATCGACTTCCAAGTCGTAGCAAATTGGCTAATTTCATTTTATTTTTTTTAATTGAAATGTATGCGTGTCAAATTCATTATCAATTCATAACTTATAATATAATATTACGACTATAATTTGAAAATTATACTATTCGTAATACATGTTAGATTTCCGTACCGTAATGTAACATTTGAAGAATATCAAATGTTCTCAAATAGATTATTATGAATCTTGACAACGTTTATAAATGTTTACAGAAAAGTAACCAAAACTTTATCAATAGTTATAAAATTAAATAAACTGAATTGCAAAGTTAAAATTATTCATTTGTGGTATATAAGTGAGCTTAAAAAATGAATTATTTTTGGTATTAAAAAAAAGTATTTTTGAAAAAAAAAATGAGAAAAATTTCTTTCCCAACAGCAAATGATTCGTTAACACACGCGGAAAGTTGTTTGAATCATCCAAATCGAATGCTTAGTTCTATGAAAAATTGTTATTTTTTACACATTTAGTTTTGTATCTCCAAAACGGTTAGACCTGCCTGTGCCAAAATCTAATCACCACTTCTCGCTATAGCTAAAAGTAAGATCATTCAATTCGGATGCTCAGTTCTATCAACAATTTCATTTCAGTTTGCTGCACTCTTTGCTCCGTATAACTAACGAGCAGATATACAATTATTTTCATTTTCGATTTTTGGACGATTACAATAACTTAACCTACGGGAAGTTAACAAGTAGAAAATTATAATAAATAACAATATTTGAAAGAAGAAGGCAGAAGATGTATAACCAGACATAACCTTTATTTTTTCGACGTCGTCATCAGGAGATGAACAGCAATGTTTGAAAATCCATAATAAAAGTATTTTCTTTCGCAGTAAGATTTTTTTCGGTTGTAAGTACTTTTGTATAGGTCACAAGACGTCAATATAATATTTTAGTATACGTTAATAATTTGTAATTTCAAATGTATTGTTATTTGTAAGTTAGATTCAATACATTTTCTCATATGACCACTAAAAAAGCCTGCATATGTGTAGGTTTAAAAGGACTAACTGAAGCTTTACCATGACAAAAAAGTAAACTGAGTTAAAAAATAGAATTTTAAAAGACATAAATTGAACTAATTGTTATTTGATTTCTGCTGATTAATATGTATGACGAGATAGCAGATCAAGATTGAGTACGTTGTAATCTTTGCAAAAATGTGTTTATACAATTTATAATAATTTATTTATTTGACGTCAATTGGCTATATACAGTTAGATATTGTGTAATATGATATAATGTAACATAATAATGTAGTCCTATGTTATTTATGCTTATGTTGGTGTATACTTAAACACACACACACATACGGGTACCTACACATACACACGTACACACGCCCGCACATACTTAAGTTGAACTAAGTTTATATTAGTTATACACTAGTTATTTAATTGGGCGATATCTTGTTGAAAAGATTTTCTATCATGGTCACAATTTATGGATTTGTAGGTTTTTAGTTATCTGCATATTGAAGTAATCTGAATTAAAGTCAGTGTCTAGGTCAATTATAATAATTGAATAATATTGATTCCAAGTATGATCCTTTTGGTACACGAGATATATCTTCGTATTTTTCAAATAAATGGCCATCCAGTCCCACTTGTAGTTGTCTGCAAATTGAATAAATTCTGAACCTACCTGAAATTTTGCCCTTAACTTTATACCGGTTTAGTTACCATAACACAATTTGGCGAAAATGGTTGTGAGTGGTCACAGAGGCTGGCAGGCATCATAATTGCATTAGGACAGTGTTAAGGTTTATAAAGGTAAGCAACAAAACTTAAAATAAATAATATGTAATCCTTTTCATATAGATAATTAAAAGAAAACAAAAATAACACTTAAATATGGTACGCTAATTGAAACGACACAAGTTATAAGACAATATTTTTTTTACAAAATATTAAATTAAAAAATACAAATAAAATAAATAAAAAAAATTAAAAAGCTCATTTCATCGAGACATGTTATTCGTTTGGAATTTGTTTAGAAAATATTACATTATTACTAGGAGCATTAGAAACACCAAACCATAAAACGGGCGGCGAAGTTACAAAGTGGAAACATAAAAAATATAGTTTGTGGAATCAAATTTCAATCAATGACTGAAAGCATATTGAAAGAAAATGATATAATAGAGAAAATAAACATAGGTGACCTTATAAAATGTAAAAAGTATGCGAACAAAGAGAGAAAAATTTGAAAAAATGTACAAATAATAATTTATTCGTGTATAAGGAACAAGTTATTGTGAAAATTATAATATATATATATATATATATATATATATATATGCACATATGATTTTTGTATACTAGCGACCAAAATAAGATACCTTGCCGAAGAAACCATATCTCTGAAATGAATTCTGATGTCCCGTGCATTCACCCAAAGATTGGGTCAATTTTTAAAAAATCCTGTTTTGGCTCATTTAGAGCGCCTCAATAATGTCCAAATGTATAACCGATCCCCAGTAACTTTGGAAGGCCAATCTACCCATGCCCATGGAGGTCTCCTATACAAAAGTTGCATCATTCTGGGTACTTCAACATGACAAAAATCTGCGATTTATTTTTATTATAAAATTTATTTAATCATAAGATATGTTAATAAAACTATGTAAAATTCATAAACTATTGTTTGAAGTTTTTTTTAGTTTCAAGTCTGAAAAATTTTTCACGCCTCAATAATATCGTCTCCGTAACAGCCTATAGCTAGCATAGAAGGTCAGAGACAAAATGCATTGGAAACATCGAAACAAAGAAGAATTTAATTTTTTTTTTTGTAAAAAAGTTTTTTGTTTGTGTTTGAATTAATATCTGAAAAAAATGTTTAAAAAAACATTTTTTGCTCAGTAAAATACCAAGAACGATGATTTTTTGCACTCTAAATGTTAGCCCAACGGAATTTTTTAAAATTCAAACCCTATCTTTGGGTCAATGCACGGGACATCAGAATTCATTTAAGAGGTATTGTTTCTTCAGCAAAGTATCTTGTTTTGATCCTTAGTATTAAGCGACTTTTAAATCGACCCGCCCTAATATATATATATATATATATATATATATATATATATATATATATATATATCCTATCAATACGCCTATTGAAATAATTCAGTCGAGTACGGTGCTCGGTATGGGCGTGTTACTTGCTTCACAATGTTACATTTCATAACTTTTAGTCAAATTAGTTTTCAAATCTTTTAGTTATTCATAATTTTTTCTAAATAAATGTTTTTCTCTAATATGTTATTAAGTTTAATTTTTAAAATAAATTTTTGTTGAGTGTTTTTGTCCTGTGGTGTGTATAATGTTTCTCTATGTTATAATTAATCTATATTGGTGTTTATATTATTTAATAAAATTTTCAAATTGTTGTAGTTGCTGAATGATGACACCCATCTTGTGTCGAAACGTATAAATAAAAGTTTTTATACTTTATACCTTTTCTATTTTGACGAATGGGCTGCTAGTTACTTTGAAATATGTTTCAACGTCGAAAAAACTATCAAGATACGTTTCCTAGGCCTTCAAAGAATCATTTTTTACACTTACACCCACCTCCGTTTTTTGGACCTCAGTTTTTTCCTGTTCATCATTATGGTTCTTCGTATCGGTATGGATTTCCGATTCACCCTTTCGGCTTTCATCCACGGAATTTTGTTCAAGATCATCTTTCTCCGCCTTCGGTTCAAAATTACTCTGGGCCTGCTGTTCCTGCTCCATCTACTGATCAGCTGTCCTTCTTTAACTTTGTTTAGTTACATTATGGATACCACACCAGGGTAAAACTCTCCACATTTTCTTCTTTAAATTTAAAATTGATCAAAGCTATCATTAAACAAATTTTTTTTTTACGTTGCCGAAAATACAAATTGATTCCTAAGTTTTTTGACACTAAATCAATACTTTTTAAGTTTAATTATTTAACATCTCCTTCCTTTAACAAAAAGTTATGTAACATTAGTTTTGAAGCTATGTCACTTGAAATAAAAAATAGTTTTTTCTACATTTCTTCTATCAAATCTAAAATTGAAAATTTAAAAAATGTTTTAACCTCTATTTTAGAACCTCTTATTTTAGAAAATTTTCTAGAATTTAGGAATTTAAAATATGACAGAATTTCTACAAAATTAAAATTGGCTCACATGAAAAAATTTGATAAGCTTTTGGATAATTTTAATAAATCTAATGTACCGTTGATAAGTGAAAATTGGATAGATAAATAGCTCAAAAACTATTCTAACACTCCTATCCCCTCAAACTTGAAGTACATTTTTGCCCTTGGTCCTAAATTTTGCCTTCCGCCTCTCAAATCAAATTTTAATTTTATAAAGGTACTAGTAATTTGGAGTTTGGTTTAAAAAAATTGAACAACCCAGATAAAGAAACAAAATTTAGATCCTTGTGTTGTAACAAACTTTTATCCTTCATCAAAAATAATAATTCAAAATTTAGTTCCCTTCCTTTACAGTTAGAAATTGTTAGAGATTTAAAATTTTGCAAAAAGTTTTTGAGGGATAATCCAGATATCTTAGTTACCAGAGCTGATAAGGGCAACCTTACTGTGGTCTTGGATAGGTCGGATTATTTTTCAAAAACTTACGATTTATTAAACAACGAACCTTTTTATAAACCTTTAACTAACGACCCCACCGATCATTTAAACAGACAAACGCACAAACTCATTGGCAATTTAATCACAAAAAAACAAATCTCCAAATCATTAGGTTTTTCTTTAAAAGTCTTTCATCCCAGTTTTCCCAAGTTGTATTGTCTTCCTAAAGTTCACAAACCTAATTTACCTCTCAGACCTATAGTTTCCGACTTGAATTCTCCCTTAAGTAAACTCTCCAAACATATCAGCTCCATTCTCTCTAAGGTTTCTGTTTTATCTAAATTTAATGTTTCCAATTCTTTTGATTTAGTAAAAAATTTAAATAATTTTACAATTCCTTCCAATTCTTCCTTTGTTAGTTTTAATGTCATTTCCCTTTTCACGAATATTCCTTGGGATTTGGCTTTAGAAGCTGTTTCTGCCCGTTGGAATGATATCCAACCGCACACTTCGATTGACTTGGTTTCGATTTTAAATTTCATTTTTGTTAACACTTACTTTTGTTTTGATGATCAATTTTATTCGCAGATTTTTGGTTTACCCATGGGGTCTAGTATTAGCCCCCCTGTGGCTGATTTAACACTACAAATTTTAGAAAATTTTGTTTTATCTAATCTTTCTGTTCCACCTCATCTTTATTATAGATATGTTGATGACGTTCTTTTGTACCTTTACGATTCTCAGATTGTAGACACATTAGAATCTTTTAATTCTTTTAATAAACATTTGCAGTTTACCTGTGAGATTGAGTCGGATGACTCTATTAGTTTTTTAGACCTAAAAATTACTAAAAATAAAGTGAACAATTTTGTCCTGACTGATTGGTATCAGAAACCAACGTGGTCAGGAAGATATTTAAATTATTTGTCTTTTCATTCGCGTTCTATTAAAATTTCTGTCATTATCTCTTTTATTAGACTATTAGACAGAGCTATTTTACTACGTAACAGTATGTTTTGGGAAAAAAATTTGACCCTTATTCGTTCTGTTCTCAAAGACAATAGTTACCCTTTGCACTAGGTCAACAACATCATTAATAATATATTAAATTATTTACAAACGAATTTTAATAATTCATTTTCACCTTCTTGTTCAAATTCAATAGCTTCCTCTTCCGCCCAATACAAAGGAACTATCTGTTTACCTTTTTTAAGCAATTTTTCGTATTTTTTAAAAAAGTTATTTTCTTCAGAAGGATTCCGTTTAGTTTTTAGTTTTTATAATACTTTTATTTGCCTCTTTTCGGTTCTTAAGTCTGGAACCGCGTCTGATAGGGTCACCGATTCTGTTTGCAGGTTGGATTGCAATGATTGCAATATGTGTTATATTGGGGAAAGTTCCCAGTATATTTATAAAAGAGTTAATCAACATATTTATAATTCAAAAAATTCAAACCAATTCAAAACGATGTTTTCAGATCATATGCTCAATTTCAATCACACTTTTAACACTTCACATCCTGTTATTCTTTATATCGAAAAAAATAGTGACCTTAGAAAATTTGCTGAATCCTTTTTTATTTCATTAAATTCCTCTTGTGTTAATAAACGCAATTCATCCCACCTTTTACATGATAGTTACCAGCTTGCTATTGATTTTATTAAAAAAACAAAAAAATAATTTGCTATCTCCTTTATATTATTTTTTACAATTTTGTTTTTTCTTGTTCAAACTTTTACATGTTTTGCATTTTCCTTTTGATCAAATCCAGTTCAACCACTCGTTTTCGATGCGTTTCGTGTTTCGTGCATTTGTCCTTGATACGTCCCCTCCCATTCCTATCAATACGCCTATTGAAATAATTCAGTCGAGTATGGTGCTCGGTATGGGCGTGTTACTTGCTTCACAATGTTACATTTCATAACTTTTAGTCAAATTAGTTTTCAAATCTTTTAGTTATTCATAATTTTTTCTAAAAAAATGTTTTTCTCTAATATGTTATTAAGTTTAATTTTTAAAATAAATTTTTGTTGAGTGTTTTTGTCCTGTGGTGTGTATGTTTCTCTATGTTATAATTAATCTATATTGGTGTTTATATTAGTTATTAAAATTTTCAAATTATTTCGACGAATGGGCTGCTAGTTACTTTGAAATATATATATATATATATATATATATATATATATATATATATGATTATTTCTTTTTCGAACAGTAAATCCAATAATAAAAAACAATTTGTTTTTTGAAGATGTTTAATCACGACGTTTCGGAACTAGGTACGTTCCATCGTCAGGTTTATTCTGTAATAATTTATATATCATATCACTAATACTTTTTGTTAAAACACTCGATTTTTTTGAGAATTTTTGTAGATTTTGCGACTTCACAACACTTAAACACACTAACTTACTAAGACTTATCTATTGAATATATATATATGTAAAGAAAAATACCTAATTTTCTTTAGTTTGAATTTTGCGCGTTATAATTGTCATAAACAAGTGAAAACCTAAAATACGTCAGGGCGCAATTAATAAAATTTCCTAAAAGTAAAATAATCTTTAAAATAGTAGATATTGGTGTAAATGTGTTTAGGAACTGACATTGTAATTATTAACATTAAATGTCGTTTCTTTTCTGACAGGTATGTAAGGTTTTGTATTTAAACCTATGTCTAATGTAAAACTAACATAAAATATGTTTTTTCTGACAGAAAAACTCAATTGTGTTTGATTGGCTTTGTTATCCTAAGCACGAATATAATCCTATATATATATATATATATATATATATATATATATATATATATATATACCAATGTAGAAATTAATATGGTCTGAATCTACAAGCAATATACAATCTACATTGGTCAAATTTGAAACCAATATCGGCTGGTCATAAAAATTGAACATTTTTTATATTGAGGCCATATAGGTAAACCAACATTGGTCTATATTGGTCTGTATTTGGAAATTTGGAACCAATGTTGCCTACAAATTGTTGAATGTTGGTAAGGTAATATACAATTAGACAGAGAGCTGGTAAACATTTAGAATTATTAATTATTGAATTATTCTGAAACTTATAAATGATGTTGAAATATTACACAAATATTTGAAGATTTGAAGTTGAAATAATATAACGCATAAATCAATATCATTTATTTAACAATAAAACACCTGAAATTTATTTATTTATTTATTTATTTCTGAAATGAACATATACATAAATTTATTAAGAATGTTTTTGTGGAAATTCATTTATTAAATATAAACAATGATACAAATATATAACTGCATTAAAAATATTATTATTTATAAAACACAAAAGTGTCATAAATATTGATTATTTTTTTTAAAGATATTTATTAATACATATCAAGTAAATTTTTTTTATAACAATAACAAAAGCATATAAACTTTCCTATTTATAACATCATCACTCGATAAAACATTTCACAGCATCTGAACATATTTTATTTGTTGTTAATATATTTATTATCCATTATGAAATATTTATTTAATCGTCTAGAACAGTCATTGGGAAACCTACCTTACATTTGATATATATCAAGTAAATTATAATGGAATAACAGTAATAAATGCAAATTAACTTAACTATTTATAACATCATCACTCGATAAAACATTTCACAGCATCTGAACATATTTTATTTGTTGTTAATATATTTATTATCCATTATGAAATATTTATTTAATTGTCTAGAACAGTCATTGGGAAACCTACCTTACATTTGATATATATCAAGTAAATTATAATGGAATAACAGTAATAAATGCAAATTAACTTAACTATTTATAACATCATCACTCGATAAAACATTTCACAGCATCTGAACATATTTTATTTGTTGTTAATATATTTATTATCCATTATGAAATATTTATTTCATCGTCTAGAACAGTCATTGGGAAACCTACCTTACATTTGATATATATCAAGTAAATTATAATGGAATAACAGTAATAAATGCAAATTAACTTAACTATTTATAACATCATCACTCGATAAAACATTTCACAGCATCTGAACATATTTTATTTGTTGTTAATATATTTATTATCCATTATGAAATATTTATTTCATCGTCTAGAACAGTCATTGGGAAACCTACCTTACATTTGATATATATCAAGTAAATTATAATGAAATAACAGTAATAAATGCAAATTAACTTAACTATTTATAACATCATCACTCGATAAAACATTTCACAGCATCTGAACATATTTTATTTGTTGTTAATATATTTATTATCCATTATGAAATATTTATTTCATCGTCTAGAACAGTCATTGGGAAACCTACCTCACATTTGATATATATCAAGTAAATTATAATGGAATAACAGTAATAAATGCAAATTAACTTAACTATTTATAACATCATCATCATCGTCTAGAATCTTGCTATGCAAAAGTACAGATTTATTGACATTCCACATTGCATTTATTATTATCAAACATTATGATTATTCTGTCAAAATTTATATCTTTCCTTTCTATAACTTATTTAGTTAAAAACTTTTGATAAAAACCTTTTCGATAACATTTTATTACTAAGCAAACCAGTTTCCCTTCTTTCTGCGCTTACAACAATATTACCTGAAAATAAATAAGAAGTTTTAAAAGCAGAAAGAAATAATTATATTATAGCAACCATTGAAGCTTACCTTTTATAAATATGAAAGTGTAGGATTTTTTTCTCTCTACTATATTATTATTTCCTGAAAATAAGTAAGTATAAGTTTTAAATGAATAGACAGAATAATATTGAGGAATATTATATGCCTTTACCTGATAGTAGAATGCGCGTAAAATTCTCCTTGCCAGAAATTAGGTTATGTTATGTTTGATGTCTATAAAATATTTCACATAATATATACGGCAGATTTCTCAATGCTGTTAAACTCCTGATCAAATTAGAAAATCTTAGTGTAAAAAAGTTATTGAAGACATGCAAATCTTTTTGAAAATAATCTCGAAAATTCCAGCTTCACTTAACACTTCTCACTGTTGTTTATTTACAATTTATAACTCATAACACAATCTACACACATACGCACATTATCACTATTTTTTTAATTAAAACATAATTTGACTATTTACAATCGAATAAATAATACATTTCGTCAAACGACCAAATTGACGCTATCGTTTATGACGCCCATGAAATAAAGAACCACTTTGTTGTATTAATGCGCTTGTCATCGAATCTTCTGGAGACGATACATATCGTATTCGTCCGCGCCAAAAAATAGAAAACTCATAACTTTATTAAATTCAAGATATTTAATAAATTCGTAAAGAAATCACAATATATATTATTATATATTATTAAATTCGTCTTAGAAAGTTTTTCTTTCATACAACTAAACTTCGTATTGTAAACCGTCTGGAAAATAAGCTAGTCAGACTCCTGTAATTTAAGAAAAAAATCCAAATTCATATTGTCATAAATAAACCATATAAAGTATTATACATTGCTAGAATCGTCTCAAAATTTTTAATTTTTTTTCCATATATCACAACTCCGTATTTCAAACATTTTGGCCTATGGGCGAGTTGCAGTGCTAAAATTCAAGAAAAATTGAAAAATCAGAAAATAATTATATGAACACACATATTGAATTATATATCATTTTATTCGTAATTTTATTCCGCATCTTTCGTCAGAATAACCTTTTTACGTATCTGTAACCTTTTAGTTTGTAGCATTGAATATTCGTGAAAAATCACATGGTTAAATATTCAAAGGCTTATGTCTCGCGTATATTGCTTTCATATTGTGCGGGTCATTGGCCAAGCGGTAGCGTTGCTGGTTCTTAGCCTCGTAGTCTAAGGTTCGATCCCAGACAAGACTTTTGTTTTTTATTTTAAATATAAAAACAATAATTAAGATTTTTTTTTTTTAATTTGGGCTAATTTTATTCAGAATGACAAAATTCGACAAAACATATAATTAGCAATGTGGATTTTCCCAAGAAAACAAACCTCTACTGTGGGAAACAATATTTATTATTAACATTGGAACAATATTTAATAGTCAATTATAAAAAATGTTGCTTCAATATTTATTTTTTATTTTGAGGACAATATTAGCTTACGATAAAAAAATTTGTACCCGATGATAAAATTTTTTGCATAAATATTTATTTTTCAATTTGACGATAATATTTTGTACCTGATGATAAAAAATGTTGCATCAATATTTCTATTTCAATTTGTGGACAATATTTGTCAGCTGATGTTAAAAAAATATTGCATCAATATTTATATTTCACTTTGAGAACAATATTTTTTAGCCTATGATAAAAATGTTGCATCAATATTCATATTTCACTTTGGGAACAATATTTTGTAGCCGATGATAAAAAAATATTGCATCAATATTTATATTTTAGTTTGAGGACAATATTTATCAGCCCATGATAAAAAAATATTGCATCAATATTTCTATTTTATTTTGAGGACAATATTTATCAGCCGATGATAAAAAATATTGCATCAATATTTCTATTTTAGTTTGAGGACAATATTTATCAGTCGATGATAAAAAAATATTGCATCAATATTTATTCCTCTATTTGAGGACAATATTTATTAGCCGATGATAAAATATATTGCATCAATATTTCTATTTTAGTTTGAGACCAATATTAGATAAGGCCATTTATAGAGATTATTGCCTCAATATCGGCTGACGTTGGCCTGGTCGATTAGTTGACATCATCACAGAACCGACGTTCGCCGATATTTTTGCAATATAGGTAATCACGGCCACAGAAAACCGATATTGATAATATATTGTACCGATATTAATTTCTACATGGGTATATATATATATATATATATATATATATATATATATATATATATACCCATGTAGAAATTAATATCGGTACAATATATTATCAATATCGGTTTTCTGTGGCCGTGATTACCTATATTGCAAAAATATCGGCGAACGTCGGTTCTGTGATGATGTCAACTAATCGACCAGGCCAACGTCAGCCGATATTGAGGCAATAATCTCTATAAATGGCCTTATCTAATATTGGTCTCAAACTAAAATAGAAATATTGATGCAATATATTTTATCATCGGCTAATAAATATTGTCCTCAAATAGAGGAATAAATATTGATGCAATATTTTTTTATCATCGACTGATAAATATTGTCCTCAAACTAAAATAGAAATATTGATGCAATATTTTTTATCATCGGCTGATAAATATTGTCCTCAAAATAAAATAGAAATATTGATGCAATATTTTTTTATCATGGGCTGATAAATATTGTCCTCAAACTAAAATATAAATATTGATGCAATATTTTTTTATCATCGGCTACAAAATATTGTTCCCAAAGTGAAATATGAATATTGATGCAACATTTTTATCATAGGCTAAAAAATATTGTTCTCAAAGTGAAATATAAATATTGATGCAATATTTTTTTAACATCAGCTGACAAATATTGTCCACAAATTGAAATAGAAATATTGATGCAACATTTTTTATCATCAGGTACAAAATATTATCGTCAAATTGAAAAATAAATATTTATGCAAAAAATTTTATCATCGGGTACAAATTTTTTTATCGTAAGCTAATATTGTCCTCAAAATAAAAAATAAATATTGAAGCAACATTTTTTATAATTGACTATTAAATATTGTTCCAATGTTAATAATAAATATTGTTTCCCACAGTAGAGGTTTGTTTTCTTGGGAAAATCCACATTGCTAATTATATGTTTTGTCGAATTTTGTCATTCTGAATAAAATTAGCCCAAATTAAAAAAAAAAATCTTAATTATTGTTTTTATATTTAAAATAAAAAACAAAAGTCTTGTCTGGGATCGAACCTTAGACTACGAGGCTAAGAACCAGCAACGCTACCGCTTGGCCAATGACCCGCACAATATGAAAGCAATATACGCGAGACATAAGCCTTTGAATATTTAACCATGTGATTTTTCACGAATATTCAATGCTACAAACTAAAAGGTTACAGATACGTAAAAAGGTTATTCAGACGAAAGATGCGGAATAAAATTACGAATAAAATGATATATAATTCAATATGTGTGTTCATATAATTATTTTCTGATTTTTCAATTTTTCTTGAATTTTAGCACTGCAACTCGCCCATAGGCCAAAATGTTTGAAATACGGAGTTGTGATATATGGAAAAAAAATTAAAAATTTTGAGACGATTCTAGCAATGTATAATACTTTATATGGTTTATTTATGACAATATGAATTTGGATTTTTTTCTTAAATTACAGGAGTCTGACTAGCTTATTTTCCAGACGGTTTACAATACGAAGTTTAGTTGTATGAAAGAAAAACTTTCTAAGACGAATTTAATAATATATAATAATATATATTGTGATTTCTTTACGAATTTATTAAATATCTTGAATTTAATAAAGTTATGAGTTTTCTATTTTTTGGCGCGGACGAATACGATATGTATCGTCTCCAGAAGATTCGATGACAAGCGCATTAATACAACAAAGTGGTTCTTTATTTCATGGGCGTCATAAACGATAGCGTCAATTTGGTCGTTTGACGAAATGTATTATTTATTCGATTGTAAATAGTCAAATTATGTTTTAATTAAAAAAATAGTGATAATGTGCGTATGTGTGTAGATTGTGTTATGAGTTATAAATTGTAAATAAACAACAGTGAGAAGTGTTAAGTGAAGCTGGAATTTTCGAGATTATTTTCAAAAAGATTTGCATGTCTTCAATAACTTTTTTACACTAAGATTTTCTAATTTGATCAGGAGTTTAACAGCATTGAGAAATCTGCCGTATATATTATGTGAAATATTTTATAGACATCAAACATAACATAACCTAATTTCTGGCAAGGAGAATTTTACGCGCATTCTACTATCAGGTAAAGGCATATAATATTCCTCAATATTATTCTGTCTATTCATTTAAAACTTATACTTACTTATTTTCAGGAAATAATAATATAGTAGAGAGAAAAAAATCCTACACTTTCATATTTATAAAAGGTAAGCTTCAATGGTTGCTATAATATAATTATTTCTTTCTGCTTTTAAAACTTCTTATTTATTTTCAGGTAATATTGTTGTAAGCGCAGAAAGAAGGGAAACTGGTTTGCTTAGTAATAAAATGTTATCGAAAAGGTTTTTATCAAAAGTTTTTAACTAAATAAGTTATAGAAAGGAAAGATATAAATTTTGACAGAATAATCATAATGTTTGATAATAATAAATGCAATGTGGAATGTCAATAAATCTGTACTTTTGCATAGCAAGATTCTAGACGATGATGATGATGTTATAAATAGTTAAGTTAATTTGCATTTATTACTGTTATTCCATCAATATTTCTATTTTATTTTGAGGACAATATTTATCAGCCGATGATAAAAAATATTGCATCAATATTTCTATTTTAGTTTGAGGACAATATTTATCAGTCGATGATAAAAAAATATTGCATCAATATTTATTCCTCTATTTGAGGACAATATTTATTAGCCGATGATAAAATATATTGCATCAATATTTCTATTTTAGTTTGAGACCAATATTAGATAAGGCCATTTATAGAGATTATTGCCTCAATATCGGCTGACGTTGGCCTGGTCGATTAGTTGACATCATCACAGAACCGACGTTCGCCGATATTTTTGCAATATAGGTAATCACGGCCACAGAAAACCGATATTGATAATATATTGTACCGATATTAATTTCTACATGGGTATATATATATATATATATATATATATATATATATATATATATATATATATATATATAGGAGTAAGTTCCTGAGGGCGGTACATCAAACAATCAAATATCAAATCAAATATAATCTAGGTAACTATGGAAATTATAATTTTACAAAGAACCTATAAATAAGAGAAAAAACTAGGAAATATCAAAACAACAACACTTATCAAACTAGAGAGAAAAACTAGAGTAATGTCATTGATTTATATGAAGATATATTGAAATGAATAAAACAGCCAATGCGTCGAATATAGAAAATTTATTTTATTTTTTATACGTTTCGAGACTAGATGTGTCTCATCATTCAGCAGATCAGGAAAAAACACACTTTACTAACACATTTTACAACACCACAATCACATAATACTACTGTAGGAAAACAAA